CTGTAGACCCTAAAACTCTGGCCTTAAATTAAACATCAGTGGTACAACTACTGGTGTCATGCAAAATAAACTCGTTATTCATAGATAAATATTTGCTGGTTTAGTTTTGTGTATTCTTCTTACAATGCAAGCAGGAAGAACTTTTCTTCTCAAATCCTTTGCTCCAGACAATTTTACAGATTGGAAAATGACTTTTTCAAAAAATACCTTACCTGAAATATTGCTGGCTACCAGATCAGCATGGCACAGGGTGAAGAAACCTCAACTGGGTGAGTACTGTACAGAGGGAGCAGTTAATGTTCTGCTAATTTTGAAACAACCTTTCCTGCCCAAATGGGCTTTAGCTTCTGGGAATTTGCAGAAAGGTCATCGAGGTCTGTGTTGTGATTGCCCAGCTGAAAAGCAGATTGCACACATGATTGCATGCAACCCCCTTTTATACAGCCCTTGGCAAGAATAGAAATTCCTGCAAAATAGACAACTAGCAGTGCTTTTCCTTCCCTGCACCCCATGGTAAGCTGGTATATGACCAGCTCAGCCCTACAGATCTCCCAGCATCCTGACACCTCTGGTGCCACAACTGGCACTACCAAATTCCTGCCAGATTCAAGAGCACAGGAACCAGTCATTTGTATGTGCCGAGAGAGGCGACCTGCCCACCAGCTCATTTCTCCGGCCTTCAGCCCAAAGGAGAAGGCAAGAATGGAAGCGCAAAACACTTGAGAGCTAGGCAAGTTGTCCATGACAGTAAGTGAGACTGGAGGTAGTGGGAGATCACAAAGAAAGGGTGAGCAGTGAGACTTCCAAAAGTGAAATGAAGGCGGGGGGGGGGGAGGAACAGAGAAAGAGAAATGACAAAATGAAGCAAAAGAGACAGGACAGAGCAGGGAACAGAGGATGAAGCTAAGGAGGATACTTCACTGGCAGGAGAGAGAGAAGCAGGTAAGCTGCTTTTTTAAAATTGTAGAGCAGGATAGAGGGAAATGGAAAAAGGGGAGGGGAGAAGGAAGAGAGGGGGAAAGGAAAACCTGCCTGGAAAGTGTGGTAAAAACCAGAGTCGGAATTGGAGGGGAAGAAAGAGAAAAAAAAAGAACAGAATGGCAGCTAGGGAGGCAGTAAGAAGAGAAGTCAATTAATAAAAGTGGGGTTGGTCTGCACGGGGGTTTTCTCCTTCCCTTTTTACCTTGTGTAAGAATACATTTGTCCTGCTTGTAAAGGAAAAAAAAAAAAAAAAGGTAAGACTTCAGGCCATAGTGAGCCTGCATGAAGACTGAAGGTTGGCAGCAAGATGCCTCGGTTTGTGTCACTAATAAGCAAGAATGCCCCAGTGTCAGTGCAGGCTGGATGAATTAGTAGCATTTTGTGTTGTCACTCAAAACACACGTACCTGAAGAATTGCCAGAAACCCTCAGACCTTGCTTGGAGCAGCTCTAAAAGAGGGAGCACAGAGTACACCATGTGCTCTGCAGAGCAGCACCATGCAGAGAGGAAAACGTGTTCCCCTCGCGGGGCAGCACAGGAGGGTTAGCATCGAGCTGTGTGAATGCATTTTGGGCCCTGCAGATATGGGGTGTTGCCTCTCCTTCCCGAGCACATGCTAGGCTGCCGATGTGTGAAATGTAGGCAGCGGTAGCCACGTTGCTGCCATTGGGGTTTTTTTCCTGCTTTTTTGCTTTTTTTGCCTCTTTAAAAATTATTATTTTTTTAATCATGCTGCCTGTAGCTCTGGTGGTTTGAGCTGGGTGCAGGCTATCAGCAGCTTTGCTCCAGCTTGAGCTATCAGTACGCAGCTCCTCAAGGTGCACTGGAGTGTGTTCTACATCCTAAATACCCCTGCACAGCTGAGATGATGGTACTTCTGACCATGTGTAGCACAACTTGTAAACCTGCTTTCTAAATAAAATTAAAGGTGGTTAGGCAGAGCTTTTCCGGTCTGCTCTCTTACACATATATGAATTAGTGTGGGGTGTTTGGGGTGAGGGGCTTTGGTTTTTTGAACCAGCCTCACTTGCAAGGGTCTTGTGCAAGCACTCGCTGTCTGGAAATACAGAGCAAACTCTTCCTATACTCAGCTACAATTTTTATTCTCATATGTGTATATAAAAAATACTCATCATATACATTCCATTATTGTACGTTATTTTTTCCTGAACGGGAATAAATTGCAGGCTTACATCTAGTTCTCACTCTCTTTTATTGTTATTTTAAGCAGCAGGTAAGGTTATAATCCATCCGTGTTTGTGACCTTGAACAAGAATGGGCGCTCTCTCATTTACATAATGCTATTTTTTACTGAGCCATTAAACTGCAGAAAAACAGGGCCAGCATGAAAAGTAGTCATCTACATATGTTAAAAAAAATAACTGCAGTAAATCCAACTGAAGAAAGCAGACTTTTAAAAATATGCCAGAGTTCAAGAAATTAAAAAGCAAATGGACTGTAAAAGCAGTTTACTGCAAGCAAAACCTCCTAAAATAAGATTCTTCACAAATACCTCTCTGTGCATTTGGTGCACTGCTACTCTGCCTGCATGAAAGCTGCTCCCCTGGCAGTTCCTGCCTTCATCAGGCGGGATGCTCCTCATTCGCCTGGGAACCACAGCTCTGCAGCCATGGCACAGGGCGCCCCAGCGTTACGAACCCGTTTCAAAATTTTGCCTGGGGGCAAAAAAACCCACGGTACTGTGCTGGGCTGTTTGCATCACAAGTTGTGTAAGTTAGTGCTGAGATATGAAATAACCTCGACTTTTTCATGTTGTGAATAACCATTACAGCAGGAGCCGTAATGACAAGACACGGTGATTTGGAAGGAGTGAAACATTAGATTTACTGCTGTTGATTCAATTTCTGAAATGGGCACTAATCTTGATCCATAGGCTTTCTGCAGCTTCTGGAATATGTTTTATCAAGCTGTCACACCGACTCTTTTGTTTTTTTAGCTTGTGAGACCGTTAACTTGTGCCTTCCTGAGCAGGATTGTGCCAGGCCTTTGCGGGTGGGGAAGGTAAGGGGAACCTCGCTGCAGACAACCCAAGGACGGGTACCGCTTCTGGAGAGCGGCGAGGCAGCTCCCCGCCACGGGCTGGCTGCAGCTCGGCGCGGACAAGTGCCTCTGTTGCCCATCCCAAACGCAGCAGCAGAGCAGCGGTGTGCTGCCTGCAGACCTCAGGAAAGCAGCTTCTCGGCAGGGCGAAGGCTGTAGGTGAGCTATTGCTGCGGGCAGTGCATGCTGTGTCTCTGTGCTACGCCGGTCTGGTTTGCAGCAGTTGCCTTTAGCACTTCAGGAGCTGCAAAAAGCTCAGTGTGGAGTCAGCTGTCAGCAAACTCCAGCATGCCATCAGCAAGCATGGAAGCAGGATGGAGCTGGCAGTCCTGCTAGTGATTCACAGCGTACAAATCCGGCTCTCCCGCTCTAGTTACTCTCCAGTGGCTCTGAAGCGAGCGGAGCTGCTGTCAGTCAGGAGCTGTAGTGCAAAAGCAGTTAGCTGCACAGCTCCCATTTGTGCGTTTTTCAGTATATTATTCATTTGTATTACAGTAGCTCCTAAGGGCCCCAAATGAGATCAAGGCAACGCTGGCTGGAGGCTATGCACGTAGTGTAAGACAGCTCCTGAATCCAGGAGCATCTAATCTAATCAGCTAGTGAGCGTCTGTACAGCAGAGAGTATAGTTTATGCCGCCTTCTCCCATGATTGCATATGCCCAGTATACTGCTCAACACAGATTCCCCCCAAGTGGGAAACGGAAGCAAAGTGCTAAAGCAATGTAACTGTCATTTGAGATGGAGGTTAATTTATATGCGAAGCACGGGAAATATGCTCTGTTGCGCTGTACTAGAAAGGCAAATAGTTCCTGACTGCATGAGTTTTAGAACTGTACAGCTTCTCCTGTGAGGACCTGACCATTTGGGGTGGATTCCCCTTCCAGAATGGAAATTCAGAAGAAACACCCTGTTTGGGGCTGAGATAGGAGAGTAGAGCGTGGCCCTGGCTTCACATATGGAAAAGTTCACAGGGGATGAGCTTTTGAACAAGGCTCTGAAACCCATGATTATGCTAATCCAATAACCTGAGGGCCATGGATGAAATCCTGAATTCATTAAAGTTAGTGACAAAATATCCTCCCCTAGGGACTGGGGGAATGAAGCAACTGGCAATCCATTATTTCAAACTACAAGCTGATTAATGGGGTAATTTTATGCAGATCGAGGTATGTTTTCCGTCCCTTTCTCCCAGACCCAGAAATATATCCTGACTTGAAGCTTCATTCAAACTTCATACAAGAGATGACAGAATCCTGTTTATCAATGTGTTTATTTCTAAGAAGCATTGTAGATACAAATTTTAATGGTGTCTAGAATTGCAAGGTCAATGGCTTCAGAAGGGAAAAGGGCTTATTCTAGAATTTACTTGTGCAAACTCAGTGTGATTTTTCAGAACCTTTCAAAACAGCTTTCTTCAAAATACTCATTAAAATATATAATTATGTACTAAATCTTCCTATTGTATCAAAAGGTTTGAAATACTTGGAAATTTTTTTTTAAAGACTGTTTCTGGAATCGTGGTAAATCTCAGCTGTCAGAAAAGGTAAAGCTCTGGAGAAAGAAAAAAGCCTGAAATACATGATCCTTAAAAACTCTTAAAAAGCTGGAGGGTAATTAAAAATAACTTATTAAAACATACTCCTTCTATATATTGTCTTGTGAAGTCAATCTCATGATGTCGGGGTCCTGACATTCGTTCATGCTTCAGGATGCAGTTTTGGGATAACTGTAATTTTCATTGAATACTCTAATAGGGAAGGGGAAGACATTGGTAGAAGGAAACTCTTCACTCGGGAATACTGGGAAAAATCCTGTTTCATATTCTTTCCCAGCTGAAACCAGAAGACATCTTATCCTAAGGTTAAAGCTCAGCTGTCCTGATCCAGTCATGTTAGTAGACTTCCCACCAGCTGCTGTTTAACTGTCTTTGTTTTCGTTTTCTTTCTTTCTCTCTACAGTGTGATAATGACAGGTGCATATAATAATTTTTTTCGAATGTTTGACCGAAATACCAAACGGGATGTTACCTTGGAGGCATCCCGAGAGAGCAGTAAACCACGAGCTATTCTTAAGCCCCGGAGAGTCTGCGTCGGAGGCAAGCGAAGGAAAGATGACATCAGTGTCGACAGTTTGGACTTTACTAAGAAGATCTTGCACACAGCGTGGCACCCAACTGAGAACATCATTGCTATAGCAGCGACAAACAATCTGTACATATTTCAGGATAAAGTGAACTCAGAAATGCACTAGATTTATCAATATCCCTCTATATTTACAAACCAGCCTCTTGAGAGTTGTAGAAGGATGTGATCTTCACAAAAATTGTGGCTTCTGTGGTGGGATTTGTAGGTTGCATCCTTTCATCCCTCAGCCTGTATCATTATTGGTGGCAAGCCAACTATTTTCCATCACTGCAACTGTATGAGTAAAAGGCACGACTGCAAATCCAGTACTGTGGTCTGTATCGGTTCCTTTAAACAAACAGGGGTGTTTAGTCACTGTGGGAGCATTCCTGAGGAGGGTTGAGTCTCCTCAACTCCCGTCAGTCCTTTCGAGGGTCCGTTCTGGTGCCCTGCCTGCTTTTGCAGTCCACAGCATTTACCACATTGTTAGAGCTTTTTGCCTCGATCTCTTGATTATTTTTTTTCAGTAGCGTTTTCCTGTCTTTCAACTAAGCCAAGCCTGTTCGAGTGACTGAATAGCCGCATCCCTTTAGAGCACGTGGCACATTGGAGGGGCCTCATGAGAGTTATAACTGGAAGCAGAATCCCTGCTGGTGAAAAGCTGCCCTGTCTCACCCGTCCTACTCCCTTCTTTACAACACCCTCTTATTTATTTATTTATTCACATTACTTTGGGCTTCAGCTTCCCGAGTGAGTAAGTGAGAGACTGGTATAGTTTCTCAGCCAGCTTATTTTAAGTTTATTCTCCATAGATCTCTTTGCTCTGTTTAAAACAATAACTAGTATCTTCATCACGTGGAGAACTATTAAAAAACTTGGTATTGCCAGAGGGACTGGCTGGTCAGACACAGCCTGGCAGTTAACACACAAACCCGTCCTACCGTTTGGGGGTTGGAGTTCTGGAAGCCTTGGCTAGAAGTGCTGTCCTTGAAGGCAAACATCGACTTCAGTGGGAACAAAATTACATCACTGCTAGATACTTCAGAAAGTCCCTCGTTTGTTGATTGCAGCATGGTTATTTTAATCCTGGCCTTTTGGGAATACAGGCAATGCCATGGTTATCTGTAGCTGTAAAAAGAATGGTACTGCGAGATGCAGCCACTGCTCAGTGAATTTTAATTTTTTTTTAATGAGTCCACTGCTGGGAGACAAAATTCTTCCTGGAGAAATATGAAAAATCAAAAACCCCAAACCGAACAAAACCTTCTTCCACATAAATACTGTTAGCTCTATCTCTGTTTTAAAATGAGTAGTGATGTAAATGGAAAAGGAGAGTACACACAATTGGTGTAGCACATGCAGGAATTACACGGGAAGGGTGCAGTGGGCAGGGAGTCCTCTTAATCCAGGAAAAGAAAGTTCTGCTGCCTCCCTAATAGCTCTGGCAGAAAAATTAATATCCCAAAGGATTTCTCCTCAAACCATGAATAAAAGAGCACAACTCAGATGACCTGTTAATCTGCCCATATTAAAACTCAGAAAAAAAGGAGTCTTTAAGCCATTATGCACTGATTTCTTGGTAAGTGGAAAATGTACTGATGAAGGGATCTGCATGCTTTTATATTTTGGTTTGGGGGAAAGGGTGGGTGAAAATCTGCTTACAAGAACTAAAAAACCCAGAGTCTACAGCTTTTATATGACATCTTAACACAACACATGAAATCTGTATGTTTGAAGTTTTCTAGATCAATGCTGTATATTTTGTGTGTAGAAGCACAAACGCATGTGCATCAGTTTCCAGCCACGCTAAACACATACGGTATGAAATGCATAGGTTAATTTTAAAGGGAATGAGGAATGTTTGTTTATAAAATACTGTATGCTCTAGCAGGCATGGACAGTATATGTACATATTTATTCTAATGAAATTTAACAAAATTGCTTTTCTTTTTTTTTTTTTTTCCTTGTAAAAAGGTTTAAGAATGTGGTAAATTGTATAGAAAACTTGTTAATGCCAAACTACTGCTTCAAGGGTGTCATACAATTTCTTTGACTTTTGGCCTCCTCCATTAATCTTTGCAGCTTAAAAAAAAAAAAAGCAAAAAAAAAGCTATCAGCTCATATTGGCATTTACAGCTAGAAGTACTGTAAAACATATATTTAGCTTTTAACATTCTCAAGTAAGATTCTATAGATAACTTATTATAGAGCAGATCTTAATACAACAATTTTTTTGTTTTTAATTTGAAGTACCTTACTCTGTTACAGCTTTGGGTACCAAAAAGAACATGTTAAAATTAAATAAAGAAATATATCTTTGGAGCTTTATAAAACTAATGAAATACCCAGCCAAAATACCATGAAGTGATTATAGAGGAAATAAATAGAAACCTTTCAAAGACCAGTATTCCGTTCCTGTCTTTGACATCACTACTACAGATCGGTTTCCTGGTTTCTTGAATGTATGGAAAGTTAACATCGTCATTGTGAACATTTCCAAATTTCTTTCTCTTTTTAGTTTGAGCTTTCAGTGGTGTAGAGTAAGTGATGGTAAAGTTGGTAAATCTGATTGTTTTGAAAGCTGTTGTTCATGGCTGCATTCTTTGTGTTGCACAAATTAGCTAACTGTTGTTGAATAAAAATATAAATATGTTAATACCAGCTTTTTCAATAAAACTACAACCAAAAAGGCATAAACAGATGACTTCAAGGCACAGCTTATTTTTAAGCTAGACATGAAAGAGTTGTTTAGCTCCTCTTACAAGTGAAGAGTCACAGGGATTGGGACTCACAGGGCAAGCTACTAGGTGAACCTGAAGTGTTGTGGCAGGTAGAGAAGTAAACACAGTGCCGTGAATGGGACTGACTTGGGGGGTTAGCGTGATGAAAAGAGCGCACAGACAGTTACAGCAGAGCTGGAGATATGCTTCTGGCTCACACCTTGGACCAGCTTTTTCTTCTGCTTGTAGCCCAAGATGGACTTCAGGAGATTTGAGTCTCACTCTCCTACAGATGGAATAAGAGACATGTGCAAATGTGAAGGGGGACACACAATCACAGGGTAAAAAATGGCATTAGTGTCATCGCTGGCCAGGTTGGAGACCTTCCAGCGCAGCAGATCATGAGGGCACTTCTGGGATGTGTCCAGGCCTGACCTCCCAAAGAGACAGACATCAGCCCAGGTGACAAACCAGAGGGCTACCAGCAGAGCAGCATCCCTCTTTCCCCCCACCACTCTCTTTCTACCTCTACCCTGGGGGAAAAGAAAGAAAAAAAAAAAAAAAAAAAAAAAAAAAAAAAAAAAAGCTGTCTTGGCATACACGCTTGAAGCTACGAGGGCATTCAATTCCCAGTCCAAACTGATGCCCGACCCTCCACAGTCATCGTGATGCTTGCCCCAGATCTTGGGCTTTTCTTTTGAATCTCAGTCTAAGGCAGCTAACCCTGCCTGTGTGTGCTACACAGAGCCCCAGGGGGTGAGAAACTGCCTGGCCATCAGCACACACGAGTTATACACTGAAAGGCTAAGTCCTTTTTTCTGGATGCAGACCAGAATAAATTTGCCTCAGCTGTTAGATTAGGCAGTGTGTGTTGCTTTGCACAGCTCTCCCAGAGCTTACATGCTAATTTTTTCCCCCCTTTTTGGGAAGACACAGTCAATCCCACTCATTTAGATGGACAAATACGACTAGGCACTGAAGAGAGAACTCTCAGCTGAAAATCAACACATCAAGCAATATACTATTTACCTTTCCCGTTTCCTTTTTCATCCCTAAATACCCAGTAGGAGCAGGAGCCAGATGGCTAACTCTCATGCTTTTGAAATTTTCACACGCATACTTAGTAGCTGCATACGGCAGTTTAACCCTTTATGGTTTTTTGGGGGGGATATTGGCATGAGCCACCTGCTTCTCCTGTTTGCAGCGAGCAAGTTGTCTTGCTTTCAGGCAGAGCTAAGTCCATTGGAGCCTTCCAATGTTGTGGTTATTAATCCCTGATGAGAGGGCAAGTATAAGGATTGTTTGCCTTCTATGTCCAATTTTCAGTAACATTATTATCATCAATTTGCTCCCACTCCCAATAGTAATCCTTTTCCATTTGCAGGCTTCTCAGCAAATTGCATTAAGTCTAAAATTAGAGCATGAATTCACTTATCTTGCTCATGTGGTAGAACCGCAGAAGGGAACAGGATTACTGGAGTGGGTGAGATTCAAAAATTTGGGCCTAATTTTATAAGATGATTGGGACAGGGTATGTTTCTTAAGTGTTGTGAAGCCATGAAACAGTCTGGATATTCTCTACGGGACAGTTTGCCATGTGTACTGGAAAGGTTTGCTTTCAGAGTGCACCATGAGAAAGCTTTTCTTAGAAGCGAATTTTCTTTTTGCCTTCTCTCTGAAGTTGGACAAGGATCAAACTTTTATTCACGTGAAAGTAAACACAACTCTTTAGGCCGTTAGAGATCCTAAATCTGGCCCATGAAGCAAAGCATTTCATGTGAAGCACCTGACTGAGAAAACTCCTCAGTTCTCTCAGCTATAAAAGCTGCCATGACTATGGATCAGCCAGGCAAGGTACAGCTAATTACTTGTCTTGCCGTTTGCCAGGTGGAGACACTCAATGAGTACGACAAGATCCTTAAACCAACAATTCCATTAAGCAATTATTTTAATTATCATGGTGACACCATATATTCTTTTTATAACGTGCCCACTAAGAAGAATAAAACCTACAAAGGTGACTCTATCAAAGAATGCAGGGTGGTTTTCTGGACAGCCACTCCTTGTTTTAAAACTAGTACTAATCATGGTAGTAGCATGTGTGTGTCTCATGCAGCAGCCTGATCCAAGATATCTCAACAGATTCCCAGGCAGATTAACTTTAAATACAGGACCAAATTCTTCAACTGGTAATAAACTGACTGTGCTCCAGGGAGAAGAGTACTTAGCTCAGAGAACTCCAGAAACCCCATCACACCTTCTGTGGCTTCATCATCATTTCTCCAACAGGAGGAACAGCTCTGGGGAAAAATTCACTGTAAATGATAAATAGTAAGTAACTGAAACTGGAATTAGGGTGTCAGATTGGGACCAAAGTGGTTGGTATTCTTCCATGCTCTACCTGTAAAATAATTGCTGCCCAAGGAGGACACCAGCGTCAGACCCACTGTCAGTAACTTGTGCCAACATCGGAGCCGCGGCACGCTCGTGCTTTCATTTCTCCTTGGTGAGGCTTGAACACCCCCAACAGCTCTACTAGGTGCCCTGGACCAGGCTCCTTCTCACTTCAGTGGGAAGGTGCAGAAGGAAGCAGAGATTTCCCTTAG